CCTTAGTATTTTTTCATATTACTGAAGAAAAATCTGATATCAAATATATCTTGGATCAAAAATATGCTTTGTTAGTGATAGACTAATTAAAGTGGGAATTGAAAAATCGCATAACTTTGTTTCAGGATGTACCGATTTTAGCATTAGCAACTAATAACTAAAAATTGCATTTTATTAACAAATACACTATGGCTCAACAAAAATTAACCATCCATCTATTCTGCATTTAATATATCTATTAACAGCAGCAGTCAATTACTAGTGATGAACAGGAAGAATAAAATGTAATTTACATTCTTTGTAATATTCTGATATAGGCCCTTATTACGGATAATAAATAGATACTTAATTAGACACAAATCATTCACATTAGAATATCCGTAAAATGAACTAGAAGTAGGCAACATCGAACTGCCTAAATATTATCGAAAACTACCATAGAATTAGGCAGTTCACTTCATTGTTAGCGTATTCACAAATTCCAGACTATAAGAATGAAATCTTGGCGTATATATTATCAACGGAGGATGTTATTGAATCCTTTAGCCCAGAAACGCAATTAGTTGCCTTGCTATCTGAACAATTAAGCATTATTTTGATGGATCTTTATAAATAAATGTAATATTTCAAATGGAATTCTCTCACCATTTAAATCTTTTCAATTCTCAGTCAAGTAATAACTTAAATTTCTACGAATATTGCAATTGCAGTCTATTTCCTGACTAAGAATTATTATTCTGTAGTCTCAGGATATATCAATACAGGATTGAAAAATCACTGTTGTGTAAATAAAGACACTCATTCAATAGTCATATATTTCTAGCATGAAATCGTTAATCGATTTTTCAACAAGCACTATCGATAGTTAGGCTTCTGTTGAAAGTCGGCTTAAGTAACCTACTCCACCATAATTGTAATTATGATAACCATCCATCAAATACTTGGCGCAATAGTATTTAGAAACATTGCAATTGCAGCTTATTTCCTGGCTAATATACCCAATTCTATAGTCTTAAGATATCGCAATACAAGATTGAAATATCATTGCGATACAAAAAAGGACACTTACACAATAGTCAGATATTATAACATGAAATCGGCTATCGATGTTTGTAAGCAAACATTATCGATAGTTTGGTTTCTGTTAAAAATTGGTTTTAATCGTAATAATGATGATTACCCATCTTAGATTTCGCGCAATAACATTTGTACATATTGCAATTGCAGCTAATTCCTGGATTTTACATTCATGGCCGCAATTTAGTCTCAGGATATAGAAATACAAAATTGAAAATTCGCTGCGGCACAAATAATGAAACTTACTCAATAGTCAGATATTATAAAATGAAATCGGCAATCGATGTTTTTAAACAAGCATTATCGACAGTTTGGCTTCTGTTCAAAGTCAGTTGTGAGTAGTCTACTAGGCTGTAATTGTAATAGTGATGATTGTCCAGTAAATATTTCGCGCAACTTTGATGGAAATTGCCAAATTTTTTCAAGCGCATGGAATATCCATAATACATCTTATTTGATTTGGATACTACTTTACAGGAATCAATAAAGTCTCCGGAATGCAGATCAAGATCAGTTTGCTTCTGACTAGGACAGCTTTTGGTAGCTTGCATGATGGACGGACTTTGATTCGCTGAAGTTTGACCAAAGGTATGATAGCCAACATCGAGCGATGTATAATGTTGATTTCGTGTTGTATCGTAAAGAACTTCATGTAATTCGTAAGCTAATCCACCAACATTTGATGACATTGTGACAACAAGATAATCGCATTCTGCTAAGAGAAAAACATCTCGTAGAAAATACTTTAAATGTTTTGCAGAATATCTAGAGCTATAGGTACCAGCAGTGAGTTGTTCTATAGGAGGATGTAGAAACGTGTAATTTCGATAGGTTTCTTTTATAGGTTTTATTAACGTAGGATCATCAGTAGTAATAAAAACCCTTTTGGTTTGAATATCCAATCCAGTTTTTGTTAAGTTATTAAAAAATTGATCTACTTTCGTCATATATTCATCGATAGGAAACATTTTAGCTTCAAATTTTTTATCGGTACGTCTAATATGGACCCCTACAATAGGCGATTGAAAGCCCAGATCTGCCTTTGATTTGCTAATAAATTGCCTAACTTGCTTAGCGGGTCGAATAATATATTGCGCTAATATTCCTATCCACCAAGCCATTGGATTATGCTTAAATTGAACTACCTTGTAAAAGATATCAGTCGGCATGGCATAGTGTGAAATCCTCGGTAAAGCTCCTACTTTCTCCAACAAATTCCCTGGAGATTGGATTTTAATAATTCTTGGAGCTGCAATACTTTCATTTCCATCAAATGCTTTTGACCATAATACGGCCAATTTTTTATCCTTAACACTTAATTGGCATCTTGAAATTGGCTTAAAGAGATCTTTATATCTCCTAACTCCGTGTCTACTGATAAAATTGCGTAAATAGGACCAATGGTGTAAGTCAATTAGCATTGTGCGATTAATGGAATAGGCATAAATTAAGCAATAAACCCAATGGTGGAGAGTCGATCCCATACCCGCTTTTCTACCATCACATAGGACCATTTTTGCATTGAAACAGTCTTTTGGATTCTGTAAATAATTCAAACGATGTCGAATAACTTTGACGATCTGTAAACATTTTTTAGTCTACAATTAGCCAAAGTAAAATAAATTAGTAATCACCTTTACCCTCACGTAACAATATTGAAGGGTAAGTGGTACAAAAGAATAATTATAATTTGTAACTTAAATCAATAATCTTATAATCTTACATGGTGGTCTATGGAAGCTAGTGTTGGCATTCTATAGCGATTAGCGGAGTCTGTTGAGGTATAGAAAATAGCCATTTTATCTAGATTAGATATTGCTAGGATGTATTATTACGAGTCTAGATTTACACAATAATTGTAATACAAGAATTTTGGGCCTATATTAACTAGGACAGTTATAATAGAATTTAACGTTCTAATGAAACGATATTAATTGCTAGTAGCAAGCTGAAAAACTAACAAACTGCTAATTCTATAATGTTATTTCAATAAATAAATTACATTGAACACGGTAGGCAACAATTACTTTAAGTACCCTATAAGTAGTATTGAAAGAAGCATTTCTTTTGTATCTTCTACTCAGATTTCTCACATGTTCTAGTGGAAAAGTTTTAAACATCTATAGGTTTTTGTTAAGTTATATTCTCTACTTTATACTATTTGAACGCTAAGCTATTGTTGAAAACTCTTTCAATAAATTGAATAAACGTCGTTTGGACTTAACGAGTACGAGAATGAAAGCAAATTTAAACTTTAAATTTTTAGGCGCGAAGTACGCAGTTAGATAACCTATTTTAATGACCTAACGAAATTATTGTACTGATTATGTATTTCTTAATATCTTTAAGTCGTGCTCAGAGTAGTAGGTAAAGGTAAGGCAATGACAAACTTATAGCTTTTCTTTACCGTCATCAACCATGATTTAACTACAATACTACAGCTACTAAGGAAGTAATTTCCGTTTGCAGCTTTAGCTAGTAATTGGTAAGGAGAGTGATGAGATTCTACCTCAGTAATATATATATATACATAACAGATTATGAACAGTAATAAAACTTACCGATAGAATAACTTGTATTCCAAGGGAATAAAGGTATGTAAGTTAAATGAATTGATGCTACATTAAGCTGATAAAATAGATATGAAATAGCACTAGCTGACACCAATAACACACAGAAAAGGGCCCACGTTCTGTTCCATCGTTGACTGTCCGCTAGTATCGCCATCTTTATCATCAAATGTTAATAAATAGCTTGGCTAGCAGCAAATTTGAAATTACTGAGCCAACTAATGGTCATTTTTTTCAACTAAATTAATAGCTAAGTCAAGCAATTAACATTCAAAACGCATCTATGCTAGAAAGAAACTGCTTCTACTGAAAAAATACATTATTATATGGTTTTACAAGACCCTAACCGATGATTATCGCACAGTGCCTAAAATCGTAGATTGAAAGTATAGCTTAGCTAAGACCCAGACTATAGTGTTTACGACTTGATACTAGTCAATGTGTGTAAGAGTTTGTTAAGATACCGTAAATAATTACGACCTATTTAATTAACTGTAAGTATATAAGAATATTAACTAAGATCTAGACTATAGCATTTGCGACTTACTAGCGAAAGGGTGCAAGTAATTATTCATATGAATAATTATTAACAATTTCATCAATTATAAATATATTCATAAATTGTATTATGTTATTCAAGAGTTCATATATTTAATCCTACCATGTGTACGGGCTTTGTTTTGATACTGTATCCTGTAACATTATTGAGCACTTGGGTAACAGCATAACACTTTATACAGAATCTTCCTGTCAAACCAAGAATGATCTAATGGTAAACTTTAACTCGTATTAAGACGGAAAGAGGCTATATTGCTAATATATTCGAAATCGAACACCTCCAGATTTGATAGCATACGATATCTTATACTGGAAATATTCAGTTAAATATTCTGATGGAATGATTCAAGCTCTCAGTATTATATATTTTAGACCGTGAAATAGGCCGATACATTCAATATTATACTCCTTAAAACCAGTCATTAAATGTTCTTACACTATAAATCTTTAGAATATGGTAATTTAAGATTTATTAACAAGTATGCAACCTGTATATTATGCTTGTTGAAAAGCATTTATGTTCATTCGTTATAATGGATTTAAAGATAATGCAAGATAGTAATCCTAATAATAGATGAATTAGTCGGAATTTAAGAGAGCTCGTTAAGTATTTGATTGTAAAAACTAATGATGGTTGATATCGTACACCTTGAAACCGGTAGTAATCCATGGTGGAAAATTATCAATAGAATAATTTAAGAGTCCATGTCGCGATAACAAATCATAGTATATAAATTGTTACAGTAGTTGATTAATTGATATCAGTTTATGCTATGCATAGATTATTAAAAACCTGCTGCTTTATTTCAGTTGCTGTAGCTGCTTATAGAATAGGAATACATGTTATGCTACAATGATATGATTAGCATATCCCAGAGGTGTTATTGAGTTATCGTGCTTACTTCGAAAACGCTAACTAAAGGTTATAATTCTTAGCGATAGCTTCTCAGGATTAATTCCTCTTAGGTTCTGTCACGATTTCACTTCTGCGACAAGATAACGTACAGTAAAAGTCTATAAGTAGCTACTAACTTAAAACGCCCTTTTACTGAACGTTAAACACACACACAGAAAAGGCTGTAAAGATGAAACTTTTATTAGCAAAGATACTGTAGAGACTTGATACTACATCATTTATGTTTATCACAAGTATTTTGTTAGTGCGTTGTGAACATTTATTTTAGTCGTTTTAAGTAGGTTATTAATGGAGGCGGTACGTGTAAATGATAAAATTAGTATATTGAGTATTATAATTATTATTGTTGCTTTCAAAAGACTACGGTTAACACATTAGCTGTAAATAAGGATTCATTAGAATTCCTTGAATTGATTGGTTTTGTAATCTAACACTGTTAACTAACTCGTTTATCTATTTGACTTATACTAATTTCTGTTTTGAAGCCTCATAGTAAGCCTTTGAGGAAAGTAACGAATATTTGCTTTCATTGATAGTGTGCACGAAGGTTGTAGTGCCACAACTATAAAAGAAAGTGGCAGATTACTGCAATTTTAATCTTATTTTGTTTGATTTCATTAATCAACAACCTTAATAAACTATAGTATTTTTTTTATCCCTTTGGAGTGATCTCGCTGTGAGACCGTCAAGCACCCTGATCTCAATCAACTGACTGTTGAAGAAGGCAATTGTTTATAGTAGAATTGGGCAAATTCTATAGATATATCTACAACTTTTTACCACTACATTCAACTCAAATGTTCCCGTTTATATAGGAATCGTCTAATTTGTAAACAACAACAGTATTATGATACCTTACTAGGAGAAACTTCTCGAACTGAGATGTTCCACACATAGCTTTTCTATTAGTATGTATTTTGAATCTCTTACTCATACTTAATCTTAATCTAAGCTTGTCGGTTGTCTGATTCAACTATCATCAACTAGAACTTGAATCATCTTACTACGATCTATTACATATTAACAATCGATATCAAATACATAATGAACTATTACAAACAACATCCACGTTAAGGTATTACTTATCTTACCTAGCACTACAAATATGGATATTCTCCATACTAGCTACTACTGTACTTATTAATTATCCTAATGACAAGGCAACACTGTAACAGTGTTACGGAGCCATGCTCCGAAATATTAATTGCTATGTTAATTAAAATATCTCATTTAAATTATTCTTTGCTCCAATAGCTTATTAGATATTAATGTTTATTAATAAGTACTTGTTATTGTCAAGGTATGAGAAAGTTCAATATTGTTGACGTGTCGGAGCTAACACGTTTAATCGGTAAACGTTAATTAATAACATCTTAAGTGTAAGGTCAATTACTTTGCAGAGCCTTGATGCTTTAGTTGCTATACTTGGATATGTATACTGTACAGTGTAAGCCGCTATGTTAAGAATATTCAGAAGTGCACCATCGGCGTTGGTCGAGACTATAAAAAGCCGAGCACTAGCTTAGCTGCTCAGTTCCAGTTAGTCGCTTGCAGGATCTTTTGAATATTATTGCTAAGAATATTCTTACGTTTTTCTTTAGCACATTTTACGACTAAGTTTAACGAAAGTAAAGTGAAGTATTTAAACCTATTACTCATTAGTAGCTTATTTGTGTAGCTGAGAGTTAGTTCAGCTATGACAGGTCCAGTCCCTAAGTTAGTTAGGAACACGAGTACTAGTGAAGAAAGTGTTTAAGACCCGGTTCTTGTTACAAAGGAGATTTGTAACAAACAAGTTCTTAGATTAGTAGGTACAGTTATCTTGATGAAAGTTAGTTACTGCTTACGATTAACTACGAATCCTGCTAAGTTTGCAATGACAGGATTGAGAAAGTTAAACCATTAAACGCTGCATACTGTTGTACTACCCCAGATATGCCAAATGCTACCGTTGATATAAGATTATCACGCACACCTTACACTATATTATTCATTCACTAATTCAGGAAAGTTTCAATATTAAGGATTAAGTATAAAATGAAAATTATTTGCACGATTAAGTAACTAAGAGGTGGCAACTTAAGCTATAATAAGTAACTAAAGTAAATTGTATGTATTGATCAGGAAAGTTGCCTTGAAAGTAAAAGCGTATCATCAATAACAATATCAGTATAGAAGCAAGTATTAGAACAGCCTTTCTAATGTACAGTGAGGAGCAAGATAGATTTACAAAATCGATGAAGGAAAATATGACCATTTCACGTTATTTCTTAGTACAGTTATGATACAATAAGTAGACGGTATATCACGTAGCTTGCGTAGCATATTGATACGAACATGTTGGAAAGATCTGAACGTATCAAAGATACTTCCATCCATTAGGTATATATTTCGCCATGATGTAACTTTTAGATAATACAAGATTTTGATTAAACCGTAAGGGCTTACTATCACATTTTATTTACCAATTTACCGATTATACATATCTCTATATAACTTGATATAGATGCACAATCTGTTGGTGAGGCTAAATTATTATTAATTGATGCTCATTGAGAAATACAATTATAGTATAGTATTGATTTTCATTGTCTAGTTCTAAATGCAGCAATTTATGCAGGTGGTAAGTAATAAACATTAGTGTTGTATATATAATTAGTAATAGATTAAATACGATATCTTAACCATAAAGGCATAAATAAAAGGAAACACTATATATGTACGCATATGATGATTGTATGGTAGTGCTTGTAATATAGTAGGTGATAACATTCTAAAAGGCGGACTGATAAGTTACTAATTGCAGTGCGAAGTATAAACTGTAATCGTATCGAGATGCAACCTCGTGTAGCTATAAATACCGATTAACTAATAATAAAATGCGGTTATCAATCTTACTCACGGAGTGAACTTATTATTGAAGAACATAACAATTAGATTTTAAGATTATTGCTGTATGCAAATTTCTTTAACGTAAAACGATAGGTTATTATTTCCATCATTGATTTAACATCTATAACAGTATTTTTTAGACTACACAGCAGTATTAAATTGGGGCGAACGTATTTCTATATACTGATGAACATCTTTCCACTCACAATCGTAACGTTAGATAATCCTATGATATGGATCAGATTATGGCATAATCATGCATTATTTCAGATGTCTTCTGTCTATTACAGATTTTGGATGATTATTTCAGTGTATCATCTTCTCGCTGCCTTTAATTCACAATTTTCTGCCATTAATTTTTGAAGCTGTTTCTTGAGATCTTCTATCAATTTATCCTTCTAAAATTTAAATAATAATTTCAATAATCGTGTTTCATAGATAAATTATAATAAAAAAAATATCCGAACGAGTATGCAAAGAAAACTACTGTTACTGATCAACATTTTGTTAACAACTTGCTTCTTTGCATATGGCTATTGATTAAATATAGATTAATACCTGATCATCTGAGAAATTAGGGGTGTTTTCTTCTAATGGTAGAATGGTGATCTCCGATGTCTGAGAACGTAAATCAGCATTCCTAGCATGGATTAATTTGCTCTGCATAGTATTTGTGAATAGTTTTTCATCAGGTGCAACTTTCAGACGCATCATCTAATTACGAAAAGATACAAATAATCGATTAAATAACTTTAATCGATATCACAAATAGTATTAACGACAAAAATTGGCATGGCATGCGATTGTAGTAAGCAAAATCTTATAGCTAATTAGCAGAGTTTTTAAGGTTAAATAAATGCAGTGAGAGTAATTTGATAAAATCTCTAGAACAACTCATGCATGGTCTTGCAGCTGATTTATGCAGAATAAAATCATTAGTAGAATTTAAAATTACCTTAGGGATAAAGACGATGCATAAAACCGAAGTTACGCAAAGCAGCGACATGCCAGAAAAGAGCATATAGCTTAAATCAACATTAGTTGATGTGATGAAGCTAATAGCAACAGAAATCATGCTGAGGATAGTAACTTGGTAGATGCATACGGCAATATATTGTGAATCATTGAGAGCTTCAATAGCCACACGACGAGTTGCAAATGCCAAATAAGCTCCAAAAAGCATCAATAAGCCTTTATAGCTATAAATAACTGCAAGCCATAATATGGAATGAGTGCTTGTGCATGTGTACTGAATAATTTCTTTGCCACGATACGAAGTGCCTGCGATCTAAAATTTTTAAGAATTTTATTCATATAGAATTTATGGCCATAAGACATGCAGTTTTATGCTGATATAAGGTTATGATATAACATAAGCAAGTATTTAAAACTATACCTTACCGTTATAGGCTCATAAACGAAACTAGTCTGTTGTTTAAGCTTATATGGATCAACTAATAGCCAAATTAATAATATTGCAACATCAATCAACACCAACTGCATTACAGCACGAATTAGAGACCCATCTCTAATAATCTGAATGAAATAAACAAATAGTAGACGAAGAAGATGGTTAATTAGTTAATCATAATGTATGAATGCCATGATATATCATAAATATAAACCAAAACGCCATATACTGATAATTACAATTTAAAATATAGCTAATAGCCCTCTGTTTTATGTAACGAAAATAACCATTAAACATCATACACACTATCATAATGCTTCTTGCGATCCAAATGTTTATTAAATTTCGCAAACTAAAGTGCAAACTTTACAGTAAGCAGTAACCTAATTTGCTGATAGTATAAATTTTAGTGCCTAAGTAGCTACAGCAATACGTACTATTTTCCTTCCAGTTTTATTATTAAAAATTCTATAAACTCGCCAAGTCTTAACAAATAATGATCCAAATGCAATGGTAAATCCAATGCAAAGAAACCATACTCTCATGGCATAAATGATCGGCAGGTTAACTGATGCCATAAAATTAGTATCCACACCAAATAGGATGATTGCCACATAGCATATAATGCAACCAATTGTTAATAAATTATTTATGTTGGGACTTGACATTTTAATAAACCTATCCATATTAAATAACATACATATCAAATTACTTTCATTTAGCTATATGGCTATGAAATTATTTGAAAATTTCTTTACGCTTCGTTACTTATTATAATTAAAAGTATTGAAATCGTACCCAATAAGTATGCAAATAATCTCCTATTACAGCTTTAGATACTGTAGTATTCAACTCAATTCAAGTTCAATTCTAATCTTGATTTAAACTCAAATTAACGAAAGTTATAATAATTTTATACCTATGCTTGCGTTTGACAATATTAAAACCAAGACATATTAGGGCCAAGCAAATTCCCAAGATACAGAGAGATGCTATTGTTGCAAAAGCTGAGCTTGAAATTTGAATGGCTATTATTGCATGAGGTATTATTACAGCTGGTGCGTGGCCATCTGATTTTGATACAGCAATATGATTATAGTATAAATGCATGTGTTACATAAATGGTAATGGCAGGTGTTTGTCTGTCATGAAAATTATTCCTCATTATAGCTCTTTTAATTACTATTACACATTTTAATAAACATATTAATGAAGTTTACAAATAATATCACATTAAAACTTAAGATTATGAAATTACAAGAATTATCAAAAAATTAACCTGGCCAAGAAAGCGCTGAATGGTTAAATGTAGCGGAAGAATTACTTGCTGTAAATTGACCAACTACAACAGATTGATTGTAATCCTGACCAATATCTACAAAGTATTTTAATCGATAGATTTAATCGAATAGTTTTTTTCCTGCAAATACATTTAATCATAACTCTAAATTGTAAATTCCGTTAACATAATTGATATTTTCTGCAGTCTTGTATTTTTCACACCTTGATATTGAATATAGTAAAAATCCGATATTCGATATTTATTTTGCATGTTGAATTTTCCCTAGATTTTAAGGGTTAGATATTTCCAAACTTATCAATTAATTTACTATTGCTTTTATTGAATTGCAACCTTCTACATAATAGATGCAAGAATCCATTTTCGGTAAACTATGGTTTGCATGCTCTATTTCAATTCGATATGCATACTGTATACTTAAACATGAAGTAGTATCGATAATTAATTGCTCGAATTAAGTTATACCAAACATACCGTCACTCCTTGAAATTTTAAATTCGATAATTGATTTTTTAATTCCTTCACTAAAGGAATAAATTGCTGTGTATCGTAGTAAGTTTGTGCAGTAGCGTTTTTGAACAGGTTTTTATAGGGAATTCTGCTTAAGGCTTTCCTAAATGCTACTGCAAATGCCCACATCGAATCATAGCAATAGCTGTAGTAGGCATTAGATGTTGCTTTGCCATAACTCTTTAGAAATCGGCTGTGAAATTGTTTACCAGTCTATATCAGAAAAAAGTAATGCTTTCTGAGTCTTCTTTGAAATCATAAATAATACTGCCTAGACTTTAGCAGTAATAATGAAACCGCTATTTCTAGGTCCATCAAGGATAGCTGCTGGATTATTCTGCTTTACCAACTACAGCATTAACTCGTGTATACTGGTAAATCTAAAGTAAGGTATGTTTCTATATAAAAGAAATACGAGTATGTACTTTGGCCGCAATTATGCGACCTCTTATAGTAGTTCTTAATACCTAATAATTGAAATTTCAATTTTTAGCCATAACTAATTCTCGATCAAATATCTGCATCTATTTTCCGATGAGTAACTTCTTGTGAATATGATAATATTATAGCGTAATTAGTATTTTTAATGATATCACCTCAGACTCTTAACAATTTACCGTAACTTTGTCGTGCTATTTTCTGGGGATTAATGGCAGTTGATCATAACTGATGCTTTACATGATATCAAAATTCATTGCTTATTTTGAAATAAGGTAAATTTAACTAAATGAACCAAATCTATTCTTAAAATCTTTAGATCTTTCTACACTAAATTAGTATTATACGCTTATAAGAAGCTAATTTACTACCACTTACTGTATACTTGATAATGTTACAACATTAAAGTCTGACAAGTCCATCTATGACGGGCCTTAATTCAAATGCAAATTTTCGCTAATATCAAATCTATATTTTGACGCATTTTACCTGTTTGCTAATGCTAATTCGATCACTCTGATCAAAATTAGGTACTTTAACAGCAAAGGCGTTATTTAATGAAGATAAAACGTCATCTTCTGTGCAATTTAATCCGAATCGACTTGCATGCACTTCAACATCTTGCCACCAATTTTTTTCTCCAAAATAGGGTATTATCCAAACATATTGACTTCCATATAAATTATATTTCGTTGCCTAAGAATTGTTATTAAAGCTTAAATCTAGTGCTGTCTTGATGAGTAATAATTAAATTCTAATAATGCAGTGTAAATCTGTTTTATAAAATTGTAGATTGTTAAGAGACAGGAATAGCCCAAACTTGCAGCATAAATTGAGAGTGCGCTTTGAAATCTACTTTACGGTAAGCTGATTGATATTCCTATGTAGATATTATTAAAATTTAGCACATTTATACACATTAAACACAGTGTGTTCCTGTTCAATTTACTACGTCAGTATTGAATTAATCGATTCCTACAAATAGTTTAACAAAAATATATTAGGTTAGTCTACTAAGCTATATCGTATAAACTTAGAATCTGTACTCGCAACCTTAACATCCTTCGAGGAAATAAATTCAGTCTAGTTAAACTAGTTGGGAATTACTATTTTAGTCCAACTGATCCTAAATTAAGGATTGTTAACATATCAACTGTTGCCCACTAATATTACAGTCAAGGAGACCGTAAATATTGTTGACGTATAAGCATATATAGAATGTAACATGGCAATAATGTACAAATTAAGAAAATTTACTTTCGTAATAAGATAAATTGCCTTCTCTTCAAGGCTGAACAATCTATACTAGCAAGAAATAGAATTCTCAGTTGAAGTAAATAGTGTTAACTTACTGCACATAATAATACCGCTGTAAGGTTCGCATCCGCAAATACCGTAAATAGACTTCGTGTTTCTTTCTTAATAGTATAAAAGTAGAATAATTTAGCACACCAATAACAACCTGCATTAATCCAACATGGTATTAGATTGCACCAAGGTAACAATTTTAAGGCATTACTGATAGCAATATTGCAAGCTTATATGTACATTAAACTTTATCATCTCATCTTGTCCTTAATGACAACTTAAAATGATCAACAAAACTACTAGAATAGGCTTTAAAATACCATAAAGTTTAAATCGAAACGGCTATATACCTGTATCTGCTCCATTGCATGAGACATCATAGGGGGATGAGATACACTCATAGATCTATAATAGTATCCATCACGCTTACCCAAATCTTTCAAATAGGTAGAAGTCTAAAACAGATAAAGCATTGCTATATCAAATAATTACATAGTTAAGGGCCAAATTTCATCGAGCCCAGTGTGCCCTTTCAAGCATTTAGAAATTAGATGGTACAAGTAATCAGTTTCTACTCTCATCAAGGCTACTTAAATTAATATGACATGATACTAAGGTAATTAAAGAATTGTGACAGCGTTATATACTGTATTAGTGTAGAAATATCCATGTTAGGATAATTTTGTTAGCCTATCCTTATTTAGTTAACTTCTAATTTGGATATACTGTGTTTTAATATAGCGCTGACTTTATGCGACAGTGATATCTACATATACTGAAATTACTAATTATATTAGGGAATGCGAATTATCTACTTACAGTTCGAATCATTGTGATTGTAACTTACTTATGGTAGATTGTAAATTATCGTGGAAATGTTTCGTGATAAGACATATCGTAATCTGATTATTCTGTATTAGTCATTAGACGTCTATGTTGGTAAATACTGTTGTCTGCATTAGGGAGCAGTAGCTACAATTAGTATCTAATTCAGTGAATGATTCCAAAGTTATTCGTACTAACTATGACTCAAGAACTATTGAGGAAGAGTATATAAACGCAATATATCGTGTAATAAAGTCAATTGTTAAAGTTAGTGTTTAACGTAAAATACGAGGCGTCTAAGTCTTTGTGTAGTCTGCTAGCAGAGCAAAAGTGTTTCTGATAGTGCAGATATCGTTCCTTGATACGTAGTTCAAGAAATTGACTTATTGATCCTACATTACGTTATCTAGTTGCAAAGCTGTTTTGTGAGAAGAATCTAATTAATAGTAAACGCACAGCCGTATCTAAATCTATCAGATAAAATTTAAATTTTTTGCTTATAATTGAATAAAAGATGCCAAGTTGAGGTTATTTCCATTACAGTCATTTCAATGGCGTGGGTTCGAATCCCACCGCTGCAAGCGAATATATTACGAGCTAGGAATAGCCCTAACTAGCAACAAGGATTGAGAAGTGATTTCTTTCCTTAACTACTATTACTTGGAATACCAGACAATTGGTATTCCAAAGCCGATAGGGTTTAACGTAGGGAGACCTTCAAGGCTTCCTAGAAAATCACAATCTAATTTATAGTCGGCGAACTCGCCGTGTATATAGGTTTTGGACCGAAAGCCAGTTTAGCTACACAAGTCACCTCGTCAATTAGAAATTAACCAAATTAATGCCCTAAAGAGATTCTATCTATATATTACATGTCTCCATCTAAAATAATCAATGCTTATTAATAGTTTAACAGATACATATAAAACTATCCTATTAAGACATTTCTACTAAACTTAGGAATTGTACTTTGAACCTTAGCAACTTGGAGGTGATAGATATTATCCAGTTTAGCTGGTAGGCAATTACTATTCTAGTCTATGTAATCCTAAATTAAGGATATCACTATAATTACAATTAAGGAGGCCCTAAAACATATATAGAACGTAACATAGAAATAAAGTACACGTACGAATATTACTTTCGTGGCAATTGGTCATTAATGTATATGACAAGATTAAAAGATTATGGTCAATGCTCACCTTGTGGAAACTTCCTTCAGAAAGTATCGTACCTGTAGTCCAGTTAAAGTACTTGAACATAGCATAATAGGCTAGCGCTACACCACGAATTGATCTATAAGTGTTGAATAAGTACCTATATTTTGAGCTATCAACTTCAAGACTTGGCACTGAATAAGAAAACTAAACAAGTAAAATAGCAAATCATTAGAATTGTTAATTATCGTATCCGGTCATAAGTTAACAAATGCGATATATCTAACTAATATGTCATTTATTGTTGATACTGTTAACCAATAAATTTTAAGGAACAGACATCAAACCATTTTGTTATCTTTCGTATTGAAGTAAGCAAAAATCTTTTCTTTATCAATTGTTATCGGCTGATGATATATCTTATACCAGTTGTGTGATTATTACCTGCATTACGTTGTAGAACGCAGCGGCTTCCGCCACATAAGTAATAGCTGCCGGCGACCTTGGTCCTAATATTGCGACTTGAAGTTTATCACTGAATAGAAGATGAAGAGCCCCTTTCAATGTTAACG